CGCCGGGCGCCGGCGCCCCCAGCGCCCCCTCTGCCCTCGCGCCGCCTGCTCCTGGGGTGTCCCAGTCCTGCTAAATCTGTCCCAAGGTGTTCACCCTGAGATGAGTTTTGCCCTCCTAGGGGAGGGGAGAAGCTGCAGCTTGAGGTTGTAGGTGTCCCATCCCTGGAGATAGTCAAAGTCAGGTTGAATGGGGCTTTGCAACCTGCTCTAGTTGCAGCCGTCCCTGCTCACTGCAGAGGGGTGGACTAGGTGACCCTTAACGGTCCCTTCCAAACCATTCCATGAGTCTAGGATTATATTATCCTAAGCTCTGTGATTTGGGGTCTAGTTCTCGGCGTCTTCTCAGCTGTCAGGATGTGGTGTTGCTCTTCTGGCAGCAGACACCACCTTCAGAGTGAGGTTTCCTGGGGCTGAAGCTGGAGAAAGTGGGATGGATTCCAAACGGATTGGTTTGCAGCTTCTTACTCTACTGTCTCCAAGGTTTTGGTGGAGAGAAGGGGATTGCTGAGCAGAAGCCCAAGTGGTGGCTGTCCTTGCAGGACATGGTTGGGAGGCCACCAACCTTCCCTGTCATTAAAAGGTTAAAAAATCCCATTTCTGGGCTTGGGTTGGGAAACATCACTTGTGTCTGCTGGGGCTGCAGAATTCTGTTGGAAGCACTGACCCAAAGCTGATGGCTCTGCTTGGATGAGCTTTAGACTCTTGGGACTGGGAGTTAGGAGGAGGGAACAAATTGCTCTCCAGGGTGAGCAGCTATTTGGATAAATGTAAATGACCTGGACCTGATAACACGACTGGTTTCCTCCCTCCACAGCCCTGGACGGACGAGTGGAACGTTTGATAATGAGGTGGTGATGATGAACCATGTCTACAAGGAGAGGTTCCCCAAGGTAACTGCTGGGACTCGAGGAGAGCACATTAATCCCTCCAAGGCATCCTGACAGCATCTTCTCCAGAACAACCTCTCCTCTGTGCTGGAATATAGAATGCATGGGTAGATACCACGGGGTGTTGAGGACACTGGAGACGTGGCAATGAGCTGGGGAGGCAGAGACCTGCAGGTCTGCAGCATCACACATACAGGCAGAGGTCTCTGGAGGCTTTGGCTGAGCTTTTCCAGCCTCCTGGAAGCTGGGTTCCAGGTGGGGCCGTGATGTGCATGTGGATATTGGAGCTGCAGGAGGTGGTAGCATGAGATCAGGGCTGGCCAAACCCAACACTTGGCATGGGGACATGAGTTCCCAGGCATCACCATCCATTCTGCCTCGCTAAGAGCGTCTGCAGGACACCATCACAAACTTCTCTCCAAGCAGCACCCTGCCACTGGCAGATGGGGTACTGGGCTTCATCCACCACCAGATCATCGAGCTGGCCCGAGACTGCCTGGCCAAGTCCCAGGGAGCTCTCATCACCTCCCGCTACTTCATGGAGCTGCAGGAGAAACTTGAGAAGATGCTCCGAGATGTGAGTCCAGGGCATTTCCCTGCCCAGTGCCATCTCCTGAGGCCACCAAGAGAGACCTGGCTTCTGTCTCTTCTCTGGCAGGCTCAAGAGCGTTCAGAGAGCGAGGAGGTGAAGTTCATTGACCAACTGGTGAGGAAGCTGCTGATCATCATCTCCCGTCCTGCTCGCCTTCTGGAGTGCCTGGTAAGACCCAGCAGCTCCTCATGTGTCTTATCTTTCATGGTCCATGCCTGCTTAGAGAAGAAGGCATGAAAGGCAAGGCATCTTCTCACCCCCTTGTCTGGTCCACCATGGGAACTGCTGCTCCTCACCATCCTGGCCAGGCTGTAGGAAGGATCTAGGACCACTCCTAGCATGAGAGCCATTTCTCAGAGAGGAGAAGCTGCTCTTCCCTAGCAGAGCAGGGAGATGTGTATCCCTTGCCCAGCTTTCTCATCCATTTTCAAGGGTTTTTTTTCCCCGTTGTGCTAAATTTCTAAAGCACTCACCTTTGTGCTGTGGTTCCTACAGCTGGAAGAAGAAGCTCATGGGGTTTTATGTTTTCCATTGACCCTTTACATGGGGAACGATGATAGAAACAGGAGCCTGTCCCCAGTTACAGGTGTCACCCACAAGGCTTAGAGGAAAGGCTTAACATTGCAAAGTCTTGCTCCTCAACTGCTCTTGGTTTTCCCCCTCCAGGAGTTTGACCCAGAGGAGTTTTACCATCTCCTGGAAGCTGCAGAAGGACATGCCAAAGTGGGCCAGGGAATAAAGACCGATATCCCCCGATACATCATCAGCCAACTGGGGCTCGTCAAGGACCCACTGGAGGGTAGGGAACCACTTGGGTTGATGGCTTTGAGATCTGCAGTGGGATGTAGGCTCCCAATTTGGCCACTGGCAAGTGTAAACGAGCTCTGGGAGGTGGCAGGAGGACTGGCAGGGCTGAGCTGGTGCCATGGGGTGGGTCACAGCAGGACCAGAACAGTGTCCAAGTCTCCTGGCCAGCCCCACATCCCTCGTTATTGCTCCCAACGTGTTCAGCCAAGCAGATTAAGCTCAAGAACCTTTAATCCATAGGAAGCCACGGCCTGGGGGGGGAAACCATAATCCCTGAAGAACACAGGAATGACTATGGAAAAAAGAGAATTATATAAAAGTTTAACCTCATGTTGAACCTCTTAACGTCATGACCTGAATCTCTCCGTACGATAGCTCGAGCACAAGTGGCTAAATCCCCGTGAGATCTCCGGCTTTGGAGGGAGACTGGTTGGTGGGGGGTTATTTTTTGGGGGCTTGAGGATGAAGAAGGTGAAAACCATCCCTGTCTTCTGCAGAAATGGTCCAGCTGGATCACTTTGACAGCGGGAACACCATCACACCAGAGAATGATGATGCCTGTGAGGTGAGCACAGTCCTACCTGCATGTCCCACCTCCTGCCTTCAGCTTTGTCCTGCCTCACCCCACACCAAAGCTTCTTGCAGCAGCTCCTCTGCTGTCTTAGGCTGAGAGATGTTAATTTGGGTTGTCCTCAGTGGTGACTGCTGTATTCGGGTGTAATATCTCACTGCCCCTCAGCTGGCTTCTGGAGTGGACTGAGCTCAGAGTGGGCTCTTGATCTGCAGAGCATCTTGGTCTTCTGGTTTGGGGTTTGAGGCTGGAGAGGGCTCAGAGAGGGATGTCCTCTGGCAGCAGGGAGCACTTGGAGGTGACACATGATGTTTCTTGGTGAATTCCTGCCTGTGTCTTCTTCAGAGCCAGCCTTTGGTCACTGCTCCTCGGAGGAAGCCCTGCGAGGGGGACTTTGAGACCATCAAGCTGATCAGCAACGGGGCTTACGGGTGAGCTGGGAAGTTCCTAACACTTCCTCCATCTGTAAACATCTCCAAAGTCCTCCCTTTCCGAGCCCTGCGGTGCTGTGTGGTCAGTCCTGGTGGCTGGAGGACACGTGTTAAGGTCCAGCCATCCCTCTGGTCCTAGGGCCGTGTACCTGGTGAGGCACAGGGAGACGCGGCAGCGCTTCGCCTTGAAGAAAATCAACAAGCAGAACCTCATCCTGAGGAACCAGATCCAGCAGGTGTTCGTGGAGAGGGACATCCTCACCTTCGCCGAGAACCCCTTCGTGGTCAGCATGTTCTGCTCCTTTGAGACCAAGCGACACCTCTGCATGGTGATGGAGTATGTGGAAGGTGAGGATGGGACCCGGGCTGAACGGTGCAGTGAGAAGAGGAGAATACCAGTGTCTGAGCATCGAGGACACCACAGGGACATCTCCTGCTCTGCTTTGCCCCAGGGAGCAGAGGGAAGCATGAGGAGATGCTCTGGGGATCCCTAGTGTCACTTGGGTGATGTTGGTGGCCATGCTCACCCAGGAGAGCGTTTGTGCCCAGCACTCAGGGAGCAGCTCCAGGGAGGGGCTGGCTGGGAGTCTGCTTGGCAGGAGAGGCAGCGTAGCTCTGCCCACAGACCCCTGAGCCCCTTGTGCTCAGGAGGACCCGTGTCCCACAGGGGGGGACTGTGCCACGTTGCTGAAGAACATGGGCCCTCTGCCCGTCGACATGGCCAAGATGTACTTTGCTGAGACTGTTCTGGCACTGGAGTATCTCCACAACTACGGCATCGTCCACCGGGACCTCAAACCCGACAAGTGAGGACGTGGGTCGGGTCTAACAAGGACCGGCTTGGGTTTGGGTGGGGAGGGGAAGGGACTGATCCGAGCCAAGAGGATAAGGCAGAATGAGGTTGTGGGTTTTGGTGCCCCAAGGCCTGGTTCTGTGCCACTGCACCAGGGTCAGAGGTCCTGGATTGTGGCTAGTCTTGCTCAGGTCTCCCCAGAAGCAAAGAGCCTCCTGGTGGGGTGTTTGTCTTCTCCTGCAGTTTGCTCATCACCTCCATGGGCCACATAAAGCTGACAGACTTTGGTCTGTCCAAGATTGGCTTGATGAACATGACCACGAACCTCTACGAAGGACACATGGAGAAGGACACCCGGGAGTTCATGGACAAGCAGGTATGAGGTCCTGCTCTGCTTGGCTGATCTGCTGTCACCGGGCACCAGGATAGCCTGGTGACAGTGACCTAGCAAAGGTCACTGCAGAGGTGTCAGCCACTGCTTCCCACGCAGGTGTGTGGCACCCCAGAGTACATTGCCCCAGAAGTCATCCTCATCCAGGGCTATGGGAAGCCTGTCGACTGGTGGGCCATGGGTATCATCCTCTACGAGTTCCTGGTGGGCTGTGTCCCCTTCTTTGGAGACACCCCTGAGGAGCTCTTCGGGCAGGTCATCAGCGGTGAGTGTCAGAGGCAGCTTTGCTCCTTGGTTTGCTCTTCCCAGCAGTCACGGCTCATCCTTAACCCATGGAGAGCTTCATTCCTTCATTTCATACTTGGTTGAACAGTGAGGAGGCTCCTCAAGCTTTGATTTCCCAGTCTGGGAGGAGGCCTTCCTCTGCTGCAGCTCCTGAGGGGACTCTCCTCTTGCCCAGGAGTGACTTCTCCTGCAGCCTCGCATCATCACAGCTCCCCTCGTGTCCACATTCTTCCAGCCACTCCAAACTCCTTTTCCCTTTCCCTCACAGATGAGATTATGTGGCCAGAAGGAGACGAGGCTCTTCCTGCAGATGCCCAGGACCTGATCACACGGCTGCTCAGACAGTGTCCCCTGGAGCGCTTGGGCACCGGTACGTGGGGCAGCCCCGTGCAGCACTCAGGGGGTGACCTGGAACCCTAATTCATGCCCAGCCACTTCCTGAAACCAAAGCGTGTCCTGCTGCCTTGAGGATGCTCAGAGGAGGTCCCCTGCTCAGGGGTCATGCTGGGAGGGCAGCACAGGGCTCTGGTCCATCCTGGGTTAAGCCATTTGTGGTGATTCTGCTGCTCTGCTCTGGTGAGACCTGTGTCCAGCTCTGGAGTCCTCAGCACAAGGATGTGAACCTGTTGGAGTGGATCCAGAGGAGGCCACAAAAATGATCCACAGGCTGGAACTCCTCTGCTGGGAGGCCAGGCTGAGACAGTTGGGGTTGTTCAACCTGGAGAAGAGAAGGCTCCAGGGAGACCTTCTTGCAGCCTTTTGGTACTAAAGGGGCCTCTCAGAGTGGACAGGAAAGGTGCAGCAGGACAAGGGGTGAAGTTGTTAAACTAAAAGAGGGAGATTTATACCCTATAGAAGGAAGAAATTTTTGACTCTGAGGGTGCTGAGCCCCTGTCCCAGGCTGCCCAGAGAGGTGGTTGCTGCCCCATCCCTGGAACCATTCCAGGTGAGGTAGGACCAAGCTCTGAGCAACCTGCTCCAATTGTGGATGTCCCTGCTCCATGCAGGGGGGTTGGACTAGATGAGCCTGAAAGGTCCCTTCTCACCCAAACCATTCCATGATTCGATGGTTCTGTGATTTGCTCTGCATGGAGGAGGGCTGGTGCCACCCGGGATGGCAGCAGGGGCATCCCAGCCCCTGCCCTGTCCTGCTGAGGCTGGTTTCTCTGCCTGGCAGGCGGTGCACACGAGGTGAAGCACCATTCCTTCTTCCTCCACCTGGACTGGAACGGGCTGCTGAGGCAGAAGGCCGAGTTCATCCCCCAGCTGGAGTCAGAGGACGACACCAGCTACTTCGACAGTGAGCCCAAAGCCACCCCCTTGCCCCCTCACCCTCTGCCCACCCGCTATGCCAGCTGCAGGCCAGATGTTCCCCCAGGAGATGAAAAGCTGGGTGAAATCAGTCACTTTACAACCAGTCATGAAACAGATGCAGTCCTGTTTCCAGGCTGCTCAGCTCTGCCCAAACCCCTCACTTCTCACCCCAAAACTCCCCTGGGATTTGGGACAGGGTGTCAGCCCCACCACAGCTCCCCAGGGTGCAGGTGCCAGCGGGGCCCTGTGCCAGGCAGGGCAGGGTGTCACGGGCAGGGTGACAGCCTTGCCTGCCCTGGCTCTTGCCTCCAGCCCGCTCGGAGAGGTACCGCCACTTGGATTCTGAGGATGAGGAGACCAACGATGAGGAATCCTCCGTGGAGATTGGGCAGTTCTCCTCCTGCTCCCATCGCTTCAGCAAGGTGCTCCAGTCCCTCCTCCAGCATCCAAACCATCGGGTGCCACAGCCGGCACCGCTGTGCTGAGCATCAGTGTCCTGGCTGATGCCGGAGCACCTCAGGGTTCCCAAATTTCTGCTCCTTGCTGACAGCTCGTCTCCTCCTCAGGTCTACAGCAGCTCCGAATTCCTGGCAGCTAACTCCAACCTCAGCCTCTCCTCCTCCGACCGGAGTCACAGCGACGACAAGGAGGAGAGGTGGGACAGACACTCAGGGGACGAGGACAAGAGCCGGCTGGTGGGCCCAGAGCCCCGGTGCGTGGTGACACCAGGGATGCCACACTGATGTTGGGCCACAAAGATGATCCAGGGGCTGGAGCATCTCTGCTGTGAGGAGAGGCTGAGAGAGAAGACTCCGGGGGGAACCTTAGAGCTGCCTTCCAATACCTGAAGGGAACCTTCAGGAGGGCTGGAGAGGGACTTTTCCCAAGAGTGTGCAGTGACAGGACAAGGGGAAATGGTTTTAAACTGAAGGAGAGAAGGTTTAGATTGGATCCTAGGAAGAAGTTCTTCAGTAGGAGGGTGTTGAGACTCTGGACTAGAT